TCCATCCCAGCACTACTTCTAGATTCAAATCAGAGGGGCCCTGCCCATCACAATAAAAAAAAAAAGAGTTATTAACGATGATATGGCTGTGACTGTCACTTTAGATGCAACCCACTCTGTGATACACAATATGTTCATTATGATTCAGTTCTATTTTTTAGTATCCATTATGATTTCTTCTGTGACCCATGAGTTATTTAGAATTATGTTTTTGCATTTCCTGACTTCTAGGCTTTTTTAGGAATCTTTGTTAATGAGTTCTCTCCTGCACACACTTCAGAATGATTTCATCTGAGGGGCAGAATCATTTGTGGTGGGCTGCTCACAGCCTGACGCCGATGCTGGCAGTGGGAGGCTGGCAAGGGCACAGGGGAAGGGGAGGGGAGGGGAGGGAAAAGGGTGGGAGCCCACCAGTTTCTGCCACACTGATCCTCAGGCAACTAGTTTTATTCATGTCCAGGGTACCCTTCCATTGGTTCATTCTTATAACCTTCTTTCTTTGTACCAAAGGTAGCACCGAATAACACTCGTTGGCACCTTACTTTTGTCCCGTAGTATATCTTGGAGAAGTTCCCATGAGGGTACGCTGAAAGCTGCACAATATTCCATTTCAAGAATGTACCATAACTTAGTTAACCAGTTCCTTTTATGAAAATGAGGCAACCACAGCTTCAAAGCCCATTTACAATCTAATTTCCAGATCCCCCTTCAGGTCCCCTCTGACTTAGCTCAGCCCTGGACTTAAAAGGAAATCTGTTGCATTTCAAAAGCACGTCTAGATGTTTGAGAACGCAGGGTTTTCAGGTGACCAGAGCTGTCCTGCTCAGGATGGAAGTCTCATCCGGGTGCTTCCCAGCCTTTACAGCTGCTCTGCAGCCCCGGCGTCCTGTCTTCATCTTGTCACCTCATGGTTGCATCACTGCCACACTCCAATGCGGGAAAGGAGAGGTGGCTTTGTTGGAAGGACACCCAAAAGCCATACACTTAAATCGAATTTGCCAAAACCTAGTGACTGACTAGCCCTAGCAGCAAGGAGAGCTGGGAAACTTGGCAGAGAACAGGGTCATCATGACCAACATAGGTCAGTCATGCTTCCTTCCTGGAATCGGGTACATAACTGTAGGCATCAGAGAGTGAAGAAATTTTAAGTAACAGTGATTCTGTCAGTTCAGTAAAGGCACCGTGAAAAGAAAAATGAATACAATGCCTTTGATGCCTAGTCTAGGTATCCTATCCTATATAATATAATAGATAAAGATGCAAATTGACCATACCTTCACTACGCCCACCATTGGCTAATCAGAGTGATATGCAAACTAACCGCCAACAAAGATGGCAGTTAATTTGCATACGTAGGCGTGAAGCGGCAGAGCGAAGATTGAAGGCGGTTCCAGCCAGAGCAGCGAAGGCTTGAAGGCGGCTCCGGCTGGAGCGAAGGCATGGGTCCCGGGTGCCGGAGGAAAACCGGTGCCGGCAGCCAGGGGAAGGGAAGGCCTATTGCACGAAACTTTTCATGCAACAGGCCTCTAGTCCTATAGAATAAAAGACTGATATGCAAATTGTCCCCTCGGGAGTTCGACCGACTAGGAGTTCAACTGCTCGCTATGATGTGTGCTGACCACCAGGGGGCAGCACGAAACAAAGTAAGGCTCTGGCCAGCAGCCGGAAAGCCCGATCGGCCCTGATTGCCGGCCAGGTCCAGGGACCCTACCCATGCATGAATTTTGTGCACCAGGCCTCTAGTTAATTTTAATAAAATAGAAAGGTTGACCCTAGAACAAATGACATACATTTCAGAATACAAAATTAAGGCACATCCCCAAAAACATCCTTCTGCATTTTGCAGTTTCCAGAGGGCAAGGCTTTCATATAACCTAGACTAGAAGTTAGAATAATTACCCACTACTTCTGAGAAAAATAACGTCCGGAGCTTTTGTAATCTATAATAATATTATACAGCACCAAATGTGGAGCAAGACACATCCTTTCAGCTGTCAAGATGAAGTAGACCCAAACTGATGAATTAAGCTGAAGCATTTATCCTTTTAGTAATAACATATTTTCCACATAACAAGCTTCTAACAGTGACTACATGTACAGAAGTTAGAAAATAACATGTGTGCCTGCACTCAAGCCCTTTCTCATCAGACACGTTCCTACTGGTTCACAGTGATTTCGCACAGTAGGCAAGATTAGTGCTTATTCACTTTTTTCTTTATGAATTTTGATGGTTTCATTTCCCAAATGTACAAAGAAAAAGTAACTGGAAAACAAAAACCTTTTATACCTTTAAAAGTCTCTGCAGAGATCAGATCGACCTGGGGTAATAAAAGATTACTCTAGCCCTGGCTGGTTTGGCTCAGTAGATAGAGCGTCAGCCTGTGGACTGAAGGGTCCTGGGTTTGATTCTGGCCAAGGGCACATGCCCGGGTTGCAAGCTCAGTCCCCAGTGGGGGGAGTGCAGGAGGTAGCCAGTCAATGATTCTCTCTCATCACTGATGTTTCTATCTCTCTCTCCCTCTCCCTTCCTCTCTAAAATCAATAAAAATATTTTTTTTAAAAAAAGATTAGCTCCTCAATGTAGGATTGAATGAACATATTTTTTAACTTACTGTAAGTTTTCAAGCTGCTGCTATCTGTCCAAAAGTATTTGAAAGAGCTATTTGGTAAAGAGTTACATGTTATCATTGGTCAAATATAACGGTAAGTTAAACTGGTGAGCTCTATCTCTTAGTGAAGTCTGATTAGATGAACAGAGTTAACTGCATGGCTTATATGGCTGACCCTGAAAGATCACAGATACTATGATGGGGACCTGGAAGTTCTGGCGACATCACGATCTCTTAGAAATCTACTTCCCACGTAAGCCTGCTTCAAACAGCAGTGTGAGGTTTATCCTCAAATGCTTCAGGCCTAAGAAGGAGTGGGCAGAGAAGTGTTGGTTTGCCTGCCATCTACATACATGTATTTGTAATACAATCCTCTCATTCTGAAAAACTGCATAATCAAAATGAAATCTGATAGCAAATACAGCATTGCTTCATTTCAATGTTCAAGTCACTGTAGAAATTTATTATATCAAATGGTAATGTTAAATGAAAACGTGCCACCATAAAGTCAGCCAGATTACTTGACCTCAAGTACTACAAACACAACCAGTGCAGCAAAAACAATTAAATGAGATGGGAAAGCAACTATAAACAGTCAGATTTTAATACAGCAATAGTCTTATCATTGCCTTTAAAACTTTTATATGGATCCATTCATTGATATGTCTCAGACTACTAGTGAATCAACAATATTCACTTACTAGTAGTCATATGAGAATACAAAACATTAAATTAAGTAAGGAAAAATACAGTTTAGATTAGAAAAATACAAAATTCTCAAAGGTAAAAACCATGTTTTACCTTTAGAATCGCAAGCAATGTGACTAGAGTGCTCACAACTATTCCATCTGCAGCCTGAATTCTCAGAGATGATGCACGGTTTTTATTCACCAAAAGCGTTGTTCTCTGAACTCCTCAAATCACGACTAAGCACAGCAACCTACATTTAAATTTCAGGCTCCTGTCTCCCTGTGACTGCTCCACCTCACGCACAGCAGGGATATGGCTACAGAGACCAAGGTGGGCACTGCAGCCGGCATCGTGCCCTTTCTCTAAAAACCTGTCTGCTAACGCCATTCGTTATCAGCCTGGCACTTCCGCTCCTGCTAAACCCACACCGTCCTGCCCAGGGTGGCAAGAACATATCAGATATGTAACCCACAGCAGGATAATCTTCACTAACTTAAAAACCCAGAGATACTCAGCCGTGCATACAAACAGAATAAAGAGGTAGAAATGTCCAAGGGGATTCCATTCTACTTATTCCTCCTAGGATTATGATCAGTATTTCTCATCCGTCTTTTCAATGTGTCCCATAAGACTTTCTTTTTTTTTAATATATTTATCTTTTCCATCACCATTTATCCCCTCTATACCGTCTTCCACCTCTACCTCCCTTTCCCCCACTACAATCACCACACTGTTTGTCCATGTCTCAGTTCTCTCTGTTTCTGTTTTGCTCAATCCATGTACTCCCCAGCACCTCACCACCACCACCACCACCACCACCAGAGCTGTCTGCCTGCTTTCTATGAGTCTGTCTCTACTTTGCTTGGGAGATCAGTTTGTCCATTAGATTCCACATATGAGTGAAATCATATGGCACTTGTCTTTCTCTGACTGGCTCATTTCACTTAGCACATTGTTCTCCAGGTCCATCCATGCTGTGGCAAAGGGTAAAGTTTCTTCCTTTTTATGGCTGAGTAGCATTCCATTGTGTAAATGTACCACGGCATTTTTATCTACCCATAAGAACTTCTAATAGATGCCCATAGTTCCCACAAATCAGAATCCATTAGTGAGGTCTGTGTCCCCAGATCCCCTCATCCTTCAAGATTAAACAAAGGCTCCCAACTATAAAAAGCCACCTCCAGTTTGTCACAGTTAAAACCAACTTCTCCATTTCCCATACTTTCACTTCATGCACATGCCTATCTCTATCTCAATAGTCCTTCAGGCCGGTAAGGGCACGGACTTTGGTCACATCCATCTTTGAAACCTTAGTTCCTAGCATAGAGCAGACACAATAAACTCAACTAAAACAGCATATTCACTGAAACAGGCATTGGAGGTTGTAGAGTCAAAAAAATAAAACAGAGCTCCAGACCAACTCTCTCGGCCAAAAAGTGTCATCCAGATCCACATGCGTGCATGAGGGACAATCGCAAGACAAAGGAGAAGAGGCGTGTAGGTTCTAAATGTGGGCACTTTCCCATGGAGGAGGGGCCCTGAGAGTGCAAAGTGCTCCCCTGCTCTCTGCTGTCTGTACTGGTGTCATACTAACCAGTTCCAGCGGGAGGACACTTCACGGACTCCGATAGAGAAGCACCATCCTTACATTAGAAAGGGACATTAGAAAAAGGCTGGAGATGCAGCCTGCAGGCTGATTACCTGTAATGCTCACTGACGGGGATATGCTGAGAGAAGTACAAAGCCGATGTCCGCGCTCTCCAATGCCACTTCTTTGCAGGAAGAGTGTAAAGGACACAGTCTTCCAATTCTTCTTGGAGCAGGTCCACCAGCTGTTTATGGGACCCTCCATAGAATGCTTCAATGAGGAGAATACTCATTGGCCCTTCAACCCGTCTCAGATTCTAGATAATAAGCAAAAAAATGCATCTTTCAAATATATGTGTATGTGTAGAAAGATTTTTTAAATACAAATAACTTAAGATATTATACCCAGTAAGTACAAATAATTTATAGATGCATTATTTTATAAGAAATACGTGTGTCCCACTATTTAACAAAGCATATAACACTTAAGGTTGGTATTTTTGCAATCAATATGATTGCATCATTCATGTTAGTAAGAGGACATGAAGGATGTTTTCTTTTTCTGGTTTGTTTTCTTCATGCCCTAAGATTACTTCCAGAAGGACTGTTTCCCTCCTATCTTAGGCAGTATAAGCCCCACACCTGCTGTGGTCACTACTTCCTAGTTGAAACGGCTTTGATCGGACTCAATAAACTCTAGACTGGCTTGGCCTAGAGTTGTATTGAGTCTTGGACTGTCTTCTTCTCCAAGAGCCCTTCATGGGTAAGGCCCTTCCAGTTCAGATGGTCTCTGATTCTGTAATTCTCATGTTAATCCATTTTTAAATTCACCAGCTATCACTACCCTCAATGAACCCATATTTATAAGAGAGCACATTCATATTCAAATCTCAATTCTCTAGTGTTATAAATCTTGGATACAATTTCTAAAGACAGTAGACATACGTTGACCACTTCCTCACAATTGTATATAGCCCACTCCCAAAGAAAGACCAACGAATTGCAGTAAAGCTATATGCCAGTGAATCAACAAGGTTTCTACAACCTTTCCTTAACAAATCTGAGGGATAATGTTATCATTAAAAACATGGTAAATTTTTCATCACAGAGAACTGGTTAGCAAGAAATTTTTATTTGAATAGTATCAGTTTTGTTAATGTGCTAGTGAAATAAAAATATATGTAAGAATATAAAAACTTTTATATACATTTCAATGTATATGCCATTTCCTATTGGAAGTAAGGAAGAAAAATATTGCTTTAAAAAATACACCAGCCTGGACAGTGTGCTCAGTGGTTGACCATCCACCTATGAACCAGAAGGTCACGGTTTGATTCCCAGTCAAGGCATGTGCCCAGGTTGGGGGCTCACTCCCCACTAGGGGGCATGCAGGAGTCAGCCAATTGATGTTTCTCTTTCTATATCCCTCTCCCTTCCTCTTTCTAAAAAGTAAATAAAAACATTTTTAAAAAATAAAATAAAAAATATTCCATAGGTTTGAATTTCCCTTTATGACTAAAGAAAACACCACTTATAAAATGGCATATTCCTTTTCCTAATAATTTTGTTCCATGAAATTAGTCTCAACAACGCAGGGGTGATCTTCACTAGTAAAACTGTACTTCACCTTGCTCAGACAAAGCCATGCCTCTTAAATTGCATTCCAAAGCAAAAAGTCTCAAATGGTTCTCAAAGAAGTGCCAGAAGTGAATAAAAGCTTATTTCTTGATCTCTCAATCCCCCAAAGAGCAGTTTGGAGGACAAGTATACAAACATATTATAATTATCTGCAAAATGAGAAACTGTGTTCCCATAAACCGCGAGTTCAGGGAGATACAAATTTGGAGCTCGGCTCCATCACTTCCTAGCTGAATGATCTTGGACAAGTTACCTTACTTTGTGGGCCTCAGTCGCTCCTTCCCTAAAGTGGGGACACCAGACCTAACCACAGAGGCATGAAGATAAAATTGTGGCACAGTAGCTTATGATCAGTAATAAGGTATTTTGCTCCTCCCATTATGACTATAAATCACCTTACTTAAGGAGAAAGAATATCTTCATATCATCCAGCATTTTAAAATCAGTAATTTTTAATCACGACCTCCTATCCACCAAGGACGGGTTAGAAAGATAGAGACACACATGCAGCCGGTAAACAGCGGGTGTTACCCATTCCTCAAGAGCAGCTTGCACTGCAAATACGATTTTAAAGGCGCCACTGGTTTTGTGGCTAAGAAGGAAGCTCAGAGGCTGAGCTATGCAGAGGCTCAATTTTTTTCAGGCCAGCTGGAGAGAGACTTCAACTCTAATCACACTCCAAGTTTAACAAAATGGTAGCCATTAATCCTTCAAATGAGAGAAGCTTCTAGAAAGTAACTAGAGAGAACAATAAAAGGCAGTTTTGAAAATGATATCAAAGGTTTCAAGAAAGAGAGAATAAAAGCAGCTTAACATTAATTGGCTTACTAGATCACATCACAGATCTCTACCATCTTGCCTTATTTCCTCTGGCCTAATCGTGCTAAGGTGTATATGCACTGTCTGTTCTAACAGGTCTCTAAGAGATGCTTGTAAAAATGACCTGAGATATTTCCTCAAGTGACAGGATGGAAAAAAAACACTCTAAAGAATATTTCACTCATATAAACCTCAAACAAAGCAACTTTAATATTAGCGGGTGGAGGACGGGGAGCGGGGAGAGCTTTCTGATTCTTCATTACTCTACCCTTTTCCATGATTAATCTAGAGCACGTATTATGCCATATAGTTACAGATGTTTCTTATGGGCCTGAATCATGAGTTATCTGCAAACTGTGGAGGCAGTATGTGTAGGTGCTGCTGTAGATTCAAGAGAATCAGTACGCAGAACTGAACACCGAGCATGTGGGAGGTTGAAAAATAGAAAAGGGGGGAGAAAAGATTATAGCTATAGAAGTTTTCCACCCCTTTAATAGCTCAGTAAGAACAGTGAAATGCACAGGTTTGAACTGGCGTTTACTTGAGCATTTTGCTAGTGGCCAATGGGTGTGCCTGCATTTGGGGTATTTTTCTAGGGAGAGTAACTATGTCCTACCATCTCTGAAAACTATACTTAGTGGCTTTGATTCATGGAAATTTGTTCTGCTTGTTTTGTGGAGACAGACATATCCTGGCAGCTCCCCCACTTACTTCTATTGCAACTTTTGTGGCAAGAAGAAAATGTGTTCTTCTCTGTGGTCTTCTTAAAGCACAACCTGGAAGAAAGATGATACCCATTAGGTACACGCAAAAGAAGGAAGCTGAGTTTTAAATATAAGATTTAAACCAAATGTCATTACAGCACATTAAAGAACAGTTCAAATGCTTAAGCTGTGCTTAGTTTTGTTTTAGAAAACATTGCTTGAGACACATAAACATGAGGTTAAAAAAACACTTTGTTAAAAAGGATTTTTGCCATTATGCTAGAATTTGTTGAAAGATAAAGAGAGTGTGTTATTTGCCCATTTTAGCAATACTCCCAGAAAACCGCATTGGTCATCCCGACACCACAGATGCTCACAAGCAAGCCAGGTGAACACAGCCAGTTCTGCACATTAAGAAAGGGTACCAGAGAGTGAGTCCTGGGGAGCGGCAGGAGTAGGGCCCCAACACTGAAGGTTCTTACTCTGAAACAAGCAGAGGTCCTTCGTGGCAGTGACCATGCGTTTGCCAAAAGATGGTGGGTGAACGGACATGCAGACAAAGATCTTACATGGGTGCCTGGATGAATGCATCTATTAACGCGTTTGCACAAGTACAATCACAGATATTAAACCCTTGAAACATTTAAACTGCATAAGTCTACCAGAAGTAGGGTGTGGCATTTTAAAAGAAAGAAATAGCGCGCGTACGCGCGCGCGCGCACACACACACACAAAACACTTCTTACATTGGAGAAAAAAATACCAATCAGAAAGCCCAAGTCCTTTCCTCATGACACTACAATGACGATATTCTATGACATTAAGAAAAGAGTAAACAGCCAATACATTTTTGCCATTTATATGCTGCTCTCCCTACAAGAGCATATACAATGTTTTGGATAAATTTTATCAACTTTTTTTGGGGGGGGGGTGAGAGCCCAGTAGAAGGGGGCAAAGGGGGAAAAATGGGGGACATCTGTAATACTCTCAATAAAATAAAATTTTAAAAATTTTTTATCAACTTTTAAGTTTCTCTGCTTAAACAAGTAAACTTCAGTTAAAAAAATTCATTTTTTCAGCATATTTTATTCCCCAGTGATACCAATAAGTGAGGTTCTACTATACCATTAAATTTTATGCAAGTTTAATTCATTATTTATACTATGATTTAATGATATCTGGTTACATGCTATAAAATGAGTAAATATGATAGTTATGACACAGAAATTTTAAACAACTTCAAATTCTATTTAAGATCACCAGAGGTCAAAGTGATCTAATTATCTACTTTTCCAAAAAGTTTGTATTAATAATTAAAAGGGGGTGCTAAGTGAGAAATCAAAAGAGTATTCCAGAGAAACATTTTGACCAAAATGAAAATGTGCCACCAGTCATTTCAGTTAAACACTAATAATGCATTGATTAGGTCGCTGAGAACAAAAGTAGCCTGAAACCAATGCTGTGAATATTTTTAAATTGTTATTAAAACTTTTCGTCAATGTACCTGCGTTTATTTCCAGCTTGACCCAATTTCTTTATTCCCTGAGCCATGAACATTTTCAAGGTGAACTACATTTTTGTCTACCTACTCTAGCACTTACAACTGCTGTGGTAGTTGAGGTTTTTTTTTTTTACACTACAGATAAAGGAAAATGGCAATATGTCACTGATGTATTGAAACAGATGTGCTAAGTAGAAATACATCATGTGGACTTTCTAAATGTAATCCTAACTCACATTAGAAACCTACAATTAGCCCACCTCCATGATGTCAATTGGGTTACCTATAATATTTAAATAAATTTCCAACCAAATACCAAGTAAAAATTTTAAATCAGAGGAATCGCTGTATGAATATATTCCACAGACACCTTACTGCTGTTAGTTGTAGGAAGGTATAGTTTCAGTGACGATGGTTCTAACGGTTTTAATCCCACACACATGAGAAATTGATTCCACAGGTTAATGTGCATATGGCTTGATACCCTACACTTGCACCAATTACTGAAACTATTTTCTATTCGCCTATAAGCAATATTAGGAAAAGTAAGCTGGGCAGGGCAAACACCAGGGAGCTTACACACCTACTGCTGTAAGTTGGGGAAAGTAAAGCTGAATAGGATTTCCCAATAGGTCATCAGAGGTTTACCTGGTATTTTCTGACTGACCCCTTTCCTTCTGCACCTCCACCCACCAACTCCAACACTTGCAGCTTCTATTTAAAAAGGAACTACTAACCCAGCAGGATAAAATAGGGCAGTACTGAGAAAAGTCAGTGTTACCTTCCAGCCCACTCACTTACTTTAATGATTCATCAGGGAAACCCCTGTTGTTAAAATATACCTGAAATCTCATTAAATAGTAAAAAAAAATAAGCATGAAAAGATTTCTGCTTTGAAACATGTCATCATTGATTCCCCTAACAGAACCTATGAAGGGTGAATGTGTAGTAAAAATTCATTTTGCTAAAAAATAGTTTCCTCAAAGTATTACGCAACATTCATTATCAATGTGGGGAAGGGGTGTCTATGAAATGGTTTGGGGGGGTTTTAACTTTTAAAAGTCAGGCACAGCAAATTCATGCTTACCCCTAAAATCTCAATTTGACCTCTGAAAACTGAAATATAATCTGGCATGAAATGCAGAGTAATAACCTTGCAATCCTAAAACTATAGGCACTGACAATATTCTAGCTGCATAAATAGAGAAAGTTTAGCTAATAGTAAGGAATGAGTCAGGTTCCTGAACACTGGTTTGAATTGAAGAAAATGCATCATGGAAACTAATCATTATTCCATTAACTGATTATAGGACATACAACCTAACATTCATCATATATTGTATACTATATGTACTTAAATAGCAATATTAAAAAAAATCTTGAGTTAATAAAGAAAAAGGTGTAGACCTCTAATAATTTATCCACCTCCCCCTCCCCCCCCACACACACATGCTATGGATGTCTAATTTCTTCAACTGAATTTTGTTTACTGTTGAGGTAACTAAAAGAACTGAGGATTTATGCAAGGTTTGGTAAGAAGACTTATAAGCCATATTCTTTGTGAGATCATATAAAAGCATTTTAAAATATACTTTTCCAACTATATGATTTGCAATGATATTTTAACACATGCTCTTTTCAAATTTACAGTCTGATATACATATATGGCTATTTAAATTTTCCTAACAAATATTTTCATTCTTTCTCAATTTGGAATTTAACTTTCTGCTTAAAAATATCAGTCACTTCTTCCATGATTTGAATTACTCCAAAGTCTTGGTTATGACTGTCAGCAACAAATGTAAAATCAACAAATAATTTGATATGCCTGAACTATGACATCATTCACTTGTTTTCAAATATGCATAATTTTCACAAATAACTACATGTGTATATATTACAATTTATTACCTTACATTTTTATAAAGTTACATTCCAGGTTATATAGCAAAATTATAACTATGAAAATTTTTGTGAGAAGTTTGCTGGTTTAATTTCAGGGACAAATAAAATGCTAATCTTCTTTCAAGTTTTCATTGCTATTATTTTCATGAAGAACTTCAAACTATAAAAGTAACAATGAATTAGTTCTACTGAATACTAAAAATGTTCTCAATCGGCTGACATTTTAAAACATGGCAGTAGAGGTATGCATCGATAGAACGTTATACACCAGAAAATCATCTCATCACTCAATTGACCTACCCTAATTAGATTACCCTTTTAACTATATTTCCGTGCTACCACACAATCTGGTTCCTGTCACACCATTCTCCAGAAGCCAGCCACAAATAATCTTCCAAAATGCAAATCTGATCATAAAGTGACATGCTCAAACATCTTCAATGTCTCTCCACCACCTAAAGATAAAACCCAAGGCCCTACACAGTGCAGTTACAACCTTCCTTTTCCGGCCCTTTCCTTCCTTTCTCTACATTAGACCCTCTCATCCCCCTCCCACTTTAATTTCTCTCCCTCACTTCTACAGACTTGGCATCATAGCAACACCAAGTACTCACACTCATGTAGCTTTTTTAAAAAATCTATTTCTATTGATTTCAGAGAGGAAGGGAGAGAGAGAGAGAAACATCAACAATGAGAGAGAATCATTGATTGGCTATCTCCTACACGCCCCACACTGGGGATCGAGCCCCCAACTGGGGCATGTGCCCTGACCAGGAATCGAACTGTGACCTCCTGGTTCATAGGTTGATGCTCAACCACTGAGCCATGCCCAACCAGGCTATGTTACACTTCTGTGACTTCACATCTTTATCTCTTTTCAATCAGCCTTCTCTTCATGTTCACTTAATGAACTTTTCTTAACATTTCTGCTCATGAATCATCAATTCTATGAAGCCTTTCCCTGAAGTTCTCTTAGCATGACTTCCTTTCTACTTTGTACAGTAGTATTAGACTTGCTTCACTCTATTTCCATGTCTTGCTTCCCCAAGGTACTGTGAAAATCTGGAGGATGAGGACCATGACAATATCTTCCGGGGGCTACCCCATGATCTGTTTTTGTAGAGCTAAATGGAACATCAGAGGGAAATGGGAAGTTGATTCTGCGTTTAAAGTGGCATTGCTTTTACTTAGCGCAGGTCCGGAGCAATCAGGTGTCAGCCAGCACCACACTTGCTCCTAATGATTTCCCATTGTTCCTAAAGACGGAACTAAATCAAGCCAACAGCATATCTGAACACATTTTATTATATTCTCTTTCAAATAATGATTCTTTTTTCTTATTGTTCACAGAAATCAGAATTTATTGGAAATAATGTTTTATGTAGATGTGTGTTTATCTTAACCTACTAACATAACAGAAGCAACAATGGTTAAGCAATTAAGAGAAACACTATGAGCAAAGCCAGTTTGATGGCCGAGAATATCTGAGATCCTTGAATTCTGAAAATCATATGCAGTTTTTTAATCTGTTTGATCTACTCTCCCTGTAGTTTAATACTAGAAGTGGAAGTAGGATGAGAAGCCAATTCCCTCACCATCAATCTGGAGTTCCCATTCCACATTTAGTAATTAGGCTGTTATTTAATGGGGAAGACAAAGACAGTTT